CAGTTGGTGATAGTCCTGTGTAGTGAAGTCTATGAAGTGAGCACATGGTGTTAGTGGAGCCCAGGAAGGGCCCCTCAATCAGGATTAGCTCTTAGTTTCTCAGGAAACTTCATCCTACCCTCCTGGGAGCAAAGCCAACTCTTCCACCGAGTTACCAGTGTTTGGGGAATTAAGGAGGTACAAAACACTACCTACACAGTATTGTTTATTCTCATGGTCAATGACTTCCTCTCTTCAGCAATGGTCAGAGGGGATTACTGAACCACATACATGGCAGAGAAAAAGCTCACTGGAAACTCCAACCTATTTATCAAAATTGCACAGGGTCTAAATACAATGTGGTATCCTGGTTTGGATCTTAGGACACAAAAAGGCTGTTAGTGGAAAAACTTATAAAATCCAAAGAAAGTTGTAGTTCAGCTCATGGTATTGTACCAAAGTTAATTTCTTATTAGATGTGACAAATGTACCATGGTTATGTAAGATGTTAACATTAGGGGAAGAACTGGGTGAAAGATACACAGGAACTCTCCACTATTTTTGCAACTTTTCTATAAATCTAAAATTACTCCAAAATAAAATGTAATTTTTTTAAAATTACATCTGGTTCCTCACTTTACATTCTCATTCCCCCCCTAGGATTCTGATCATGCTTCCCTAATCCCTACCCAATCCAGGTAATGCTTGATTAAAACACTTTTTTCAAACCCTTTTCAATCTTTCCTATAAATCATTTACACAGCCCAGCTGGGTTTCCTTCTTCACCAAGACATGAGAAACTAGATCATACTTGGGAGGTTTTAACTTTTTTTTCTTCCTAACAGTTTTACCGCATACACCAGGGGGTATCCTTGGAGTGGAACCTCTCTAAGTGGACAAAGGAGGGGTTAAAATAACCTGGGCCGGATCTCTGGATAAGAGCAAGGGGACCTTGCAGAAAATGTATGTTGTATATTATTAGATTACCTTTACCTGATCTCTGGCCAAAAAGGATAATGAATAGAAAATACAATGAACAGATGTTGACTACTAGCATCTCAACACCAACAGGGAAACTGCACTGAAATGATGCTGCAGCTAGAAGCTCTGAAAAATGTGGTGCAAATCCTTCAACTCTCCAAGGTAACAAAAATTCATATTAAAATCATATGGTGTGGCGCCTAGGTAGCTCAGTCGGTTAAGTGTCTGACTTTTGATTTTGGCTCAGGTCATGATCTCAGGGTTGTGAGATCAAGCCCTGTGTCCACGCTAAGTGTGGAGCCTTCCTGAGATTCTCTCTCTGCCCTCCCCCAATTAAAAAAAAATCAGACGGTACAGTTCAATTCAGGCTAAATGACAAAACATATATTTACCAAGACTGTTTGGTTTCTGATAACTAAATGAATACTCATCTCCATCAAACCATAACTTGTAGAACAGGCTTCAGGAGTCCCACCAGGAAAACATCATGGTGATATAACACCATACCAAGGCATCAAGCATGTATGTGCATGCCCCCCCACGGATGCATGTGCACATGTACATACACACAAACTGCAACAAGGCTAAACAACCTCAAAAGTCTGAAAACTGGGGCAGCTGGGTGGCTCAGTCGGTTGAGCGACTGCCTTTGGCTTGGGTCCTGGGATCGAGCCCCGCATCAGGCTCCCTGCTCGGTAGGCCTCCTTCTCCCTCTCCCACTCCCCCTGCTTGTGTTCCCTCTCTCGCTGTCTCTCTCTCTGTCAAATAAATAAAATCTTTAACAGAAAAAAAAATTTGAAAACTACTATATAAAAGAATATTAGTGAAGGCTAAACATTCATGAACCCTTCAAAGAAAAAGAAACCAAAGAAAGATAAATTGAAATTTAAACCTAGGCTATTTAATGACTAAAGTAATTTAAAAAGTAAAATGATATACTAGAATCCATGAAGCTCATTATGTCTTATTTGTTATATGGTATGTTGTAATATTATATATTACACAACAGTACTCTGACCTGGACCACTTCCATAAAGATGAACAAGTGGAGTAATTCCTATGAAAGAGTTCAATTTGCATGCCTCTGTTGGACGACCTTACCATAATTTAATTTACCTGTTCACAAGTCTATCTCCAATACGGGCCTGAGCTTTTGAAGAGTAACACACACAGAATGGGCCCTTAAAACATGCCTTCTGAATGAGTGAACATGCAGCAGTAAGTACCTCTGAGGTATCCTTACAAGCCATTTGGTATCAACACCTTAGGAGCAGAACATGCTGTATACCACGTTACATATTTAGAAGGCAGTCAAGTTAACTGAAAAATAATTCATAGCAACTAACTGTTGGGGAAAAAAAACTCATCACGTGAGACATAAAAAGAAGTGCAAAAACTGTAACTTGGAAATGAAGAAAATATCTGTGAATTAGTTTTCTTCCCTTGATGGCAACAAAAGTCAATCTACCTTTAACTTTCTAACATTGAAATACAAGAGTTTTAAACGAATCTTTCATTATCCTTCATTTTATAAAGAAATTTGTTATTAACTTCAATTGGTAAGGAAGACCAATTAGTGAATGGAATGAAGTCCAACCCAATTATGTGTTCAAAACTGTGGGTTGAATGCCTTAAAAAATTCTTTCTCTTCAAGACTGCAGAAAAATACAAAACAACCCTCTTGACTGCTGAGAGGGACTAAAAGTATTTCTTTTGCTCACAAGTATGTAATCAAAAGCAATTACTTTCTGCCCCCACCCAAAACAAAGAAATACCATCTCCCCCCACCCATCACCATCAAAACATGCTACCGAGCATCTCAGTGCTTTAATCTTAGACTATAAAAATGTCAGATTGCAATAAAATTACAATTCAACAAAAACATTTTTCTAAGTATGTTCTCATTCCCTGTAGTGTTCCTAAACTAATTTAGCTCCTTCTCAAGTATTAACAAACAAGGAAACAAGAAAATTCTCAGAATAGTTATTCCAAATTACTTGTTTTTAAAAAAATTTACTATTGTTCATGGATTCCAAAATTCATGGTACACATTAGCAGGAGAGTGTTTTTCTGTCAATGGCTGAATTTAAATGCGGATAACTATTTAATTATATGCAGTTTTCCCTCTGACCCTACCTATAATACTGGTCAGCATCCAAATGTTTAAAATAAACAACTGGTCATGTTTACTTAAAAACGTTATTGCCTCATCACCAAGAGGTTCTAAGGCATCCAAAAAGTGGTAGCTCTCAGCTCTAGCCACGAATGCAGCTTGCACACAAGCTGTCTCAAAAAGATTAGGAACTTCTAGTGACCGCAAATGGGGTAAAGCAGAAGGCACATGTTATCTGTAGATGGTTCAATGATAAAACTGTTTAACATAAAAAACTCAAAGCCTGCCAAGTCAGATAATGTGAACTACAAAGCCATCTAAATGCCTGCAAGCCAAAAAGAAAAAGGAGAAGAAGGAATAAAAATGTGTCTATACACAAGTCAACTTGAGAAGTCACCCTGCAACTTAGCTTTTCAAGAACTGAAAACTTTATAAGGTTCTTGGAGATATCAACACATTCAAGTTCCAAAATAGAGCAACTATATTAAAATACAATTGGCAAAAAATTCAAATGCCACCACATGTTGAAAGACACACAATAATAAAAAATTCTTTAATAGGGTTTATTTGTGGTGGGCACTGTTCTAGGGACTTTACATTCTTATTCATTTAGTCCTGATAACATCCCTATAAGACAGGTACTATTAAGATTATCTCCACTTTACAGATGAACGAACTGAAGTACAGATAGATTAATTCACACAATGTCAGACAGCTAGTAAGAGGCAGAGCAGGAGTTTAATTCCATTAGTCAGACTCCAAAGTTCATGTTAGCCAATGCATGTTTTATGTCAGCTTTTTTTTTTTAAAACCTAATAACCTTTTTGGATTTCAAACACTAGGATAGTTTTGTGCAATAAGAAAAGTACAGGCTTTGGAATCAAATCAAACCCAAACAAACCCCTGAACAAAGTCAAGCCTCAGCTTCCCTATATGTAAAAGGAGGACACTTAAGTTATTGTGAAGGTCAAAGAAGATAATATAATTAAAGTGCCAAGTACGGTATACAAGATAGGGGTTCTTAACCCTACGTTCACAGACATTGTGTGTCCAGGGATGGGCTTCAGAGTCTCTGAGTCTCATCAATTGTATGACAAATGTTGTATGTACTCATTCTTCTTTTTTTTTTTTTTTTAAGAATCGTCTCTGGCTGTCCACAAACCTTCAAGAGGTACCCGATCTCTGAAAGGCTAAGAACCACCGAAGTACACAGAAGCTACTCAAAAAAAAATGAAAGTTCTCTTTCCCTTCTTATTCTCAAAAACTGTCCCTTTTCCATTAAGGGTGACACATCAAGGCTTCCCAATAAATGTCAATTATTCCCCCACCATTTTCCTGGCTTGGTAACTAGTAACATATGCAAGCTTATGCCCCAGTTTTCTAGAGATGGTCTAAAGAAGGCCCTCAAACGATGATTCATCCCTCTCTGCACCGAGACGAATACACGGCATTTACTCGAGAGAATCGTGAGAATCATCCACCTAGCTGCACGAAGCACCATGTCAGGAAGGAGAACTGGGTAGGTAACAGAACCTCCCAATTGCACCCTAGAGACCTGACACCTCAGCGCTGAGGGATGAGGAGAATGTGTTTCCCTAGACTACTGGAAAACCCAGAATTCCGTTCCCCCTACCCCTGTCCTGCCTCTCTGGACCTCTGGTGCAGGGAGGTCCTCGAGGCAGTGCCCCGGACTAGAGAGGTAGAGGAGAGAAATGTTACCCGAGCAGCGCGGCGGAGTCCCACCTCTGCTGCTGGGAGCCGCGGCGGTAGCACTCGTCGCAAGACTGTCCCAAGATCCTCCTCCCAGAGACCCCAGTACGGATCTCGGCTCCAGCTGGGAACCGGCTCCAAGCTTTTCCGTTTCCCAAAGCGGCTTCCGCTTCCGGGCTAGCCTTTGCAGGAAGCAGTATTTGGATGACGCAGAAGTGTCGCGCGGTTGGTGATTCCGGAAGAAACAAGAGCGCGGCGTGAACATGGTGAGAGGAGGGTTTAAGAAGTGACTTTGTAAGACCACGTTTTAGGGGAGCAGATAGAGCCAATCAGCCGTTAGCCCAATTTCCTCTGTATTACCCTTAATTATTTTCATTCTGATTGTAGTTCTTAAACTGCTCGAGCGGTGCCTGCTCTTCTCTCCTGAGTGGGGACAGGAGGACCAGTTTGGGGCACAGAGGATAAGAGGTGCTGGGTTTTTGAGGGAAGAAGGGAAGGGAATGGACAAAACAAGAGAAAGAACTCAAGAAGATATGATGTATTTCCAATTATTTTAACTCTAAAATCTCTGTTTCAAGGGGAAGCAAAAGAAAACCAGAAAGTATGCGACCATGAAGCGAATGCTTAGTCTCCGAGATCAGAGGCTGTGAGTATCTGGAATCTATTCCCAAAGATATAAGAGTTAAGAGGGCATAAGTAGTAAAAGTTTTATCATTATTTTGTGTTTACGTTAAAAATTATTGTGTCTTGGTTTTATATAGCATAGGATAGTAGGCAAGTGTGTAACAGCCACTTAGATGCTGAGCGATTACTCGGGGAAGGGATGGAAAGTAAACATTTCTGAAGTGTTCGCTCTCTTCCACCGTTTTTATGTATTTTATTTACGATATCACATTTAAGCCTCCTAGGAGTTTGGTAGGTAGGAATATCTTTGTGTTTTTGCCATTACACTTCTTATATTACCCAGGGGAAAAAAAATGTTAAAATTGTTGAAAGACGGTGAGGTCAGAGACCATTTTTGTCTTGTGTCCCCAGCACCTGCCACTTAAGTACTTTTAAAAGAAAGAATGGGAAAACACCTAGATGTCTCCATTTTATAAATCTTACAAGAATCTAAACCACTGTGGGAGAGTGAAATGACATTCCCTATTGTAAGCTTCCCTGCTTCAGTGAAGAACAAAGTTAGGAAATAAGGACTGGTCTTGGGGCACCTGGCTGGCTCAGTCAGTAGAGCATCAGACTGTTGATCTAGGGTGGTGAGTGCAAGCCCCACCTTGGGCCTAGAGCTTACTTTAGAAAGGAAGGAAGGAAGGAAAGGAAAGAGAAAAGAAAAAAGACTGGTCTTCATTGTGTTTAATAACCTTAGAACAAAGGAATGGCCTTCAGAGTTATTAAATTGTATTCTCAGCCTTTAGTATGTATGTATTATGTAATTTTTAGGGAACTTGCCTCATTGATAATATTTTATTTCCAGTTAAGGGTTAAATTTTGTGCATGTATTTTTACATTTTAGCCTTTTTTAAGAGGCATATGGGGGAACCTTTTTCCTCCCTACTATTGGAACATTTGAGTCTTCAGAAGATAAATGTCAGCCTGTTTCTTCACTGCATTGAAGTGGATTTTGATCCTTAATACGAAGAGCTTCTGACAAAGAAATGATAGTATAACTTTTATTTACCCATTAACAATTTTTTTTTTTTTTTAGATTTTGTTTATTTGTCAGAGAGAGCACAAGCAGGGGAGCAGCAGGCAGAGGGAGAAGCAGATTCCCCACTGAGCAGGGAGCCTAATGCAGGACTCAGTCCTAGGACCCTGGGATCATGACCTGACCTGAAGACATGCTCAGCTGACTGAGCCACCCAGGTGTCCCCCCCATTAACAATTTTTATGGATTATTGGCTAGAGATTCTTAAATTTCATTATGTTTAACTGATTAGTTACTTTCAGCCTACTTCCCACACAGTTATTTGTGCTATGGATATTAACATGAAGAAATCACAAAATAGGATGTCCTCTGTAAGCAAAAAAAAAAAAAAGAAGAAGGAAGAAAGAAACTTTACATGTTGAATGAGATTATAACTGCAGTGATTTTTTTCTTTTGCAGTTAATTTACTTTCTTTTTTCCTAGTAAAGAGAAGGACAGATTAAAACCTAAAAAGAAAGAAAAGAGAGATCCCAGTGCACTCAAGGAAAGAGAAGTGTGAGTAATCAAAAATTTCAAATTTTCCTTTAAATGTAGAAGAGATATATTAGAACCATAGAACTCTTAGAAATCCGGGCTCTCCCTAAGCTGTTTTGTAAGCCATCTGTAAGTCTGGCACAACTATGCAAATGAAAGTGATATTAGTGAACATGTATCCATTCCAGTAGTTCGAAAGTTTTTGGATTTCATGAAGCAGTGAAATTTCCCCTAAAATCTTGGGAATTAGATCTAGAATTATTAATTTTTCTTCTTTGCCAAGATCTTTCAAAAGAAACAGTTGTCACTGTTTAACATACCAGTATTTGATGAAAGATGTTTCACCAAAAATAGTAAGGACAAAATTTCAGGATAAAGGTCATTCCTTTTAAATAAATACACTTAATTTTTATGAAACCTCATCATATTTTCTTTATTATCTCATTTTGCCCTGGATTGGTAATGTATATTTCATCACAGGATTTATTAGGATTTATTTCCAATGAATAAGGAAAAAGCTTAATCTATAGCAAACAGTTCGAAGCAGAACTTGATTTGCATTGTTGATATCAAAGTATCAATGTAGACATTACTTTGTGTTTTGTATCTTCTTCCTTCAGCCCCCAACATCCTTCCTGCTTGTTCTTCCAATATAACACACAGCTGGGCCCACCTTACCACATCCTGGTTGATACCAACTTTATCAACTTTTCCATTAAAGCGAAACTTGACTTAGTACAGTCAATGATGGACTGTCTGTATGCCAAGTGTGAGTATCATATTTTTGCATTTCGTGTCATTTGTACAGAGTAATTATAATTATCCAAATACATGAAAAGAGGGGAGTGGGGTCCTAGTTAGTTGGATTTCTGGTCATTTAATTTGCTCACTATAGCAATGACCATTTTCGGTGAATTGAAATATAATGCAGACGTGACTGGGAGTAATTAAACCTCACAATCAGAACACACTTAGCCCGCTTTGATGTTGTGGACATCAATTTTGAACATGGGATGGGAATTTTTTTTTTTAAGATTTTATTTATTTATTTGACAGAGAGAGACATAGCGAGAGAGGGAACACAAGCAGGGGGAGTAGGAGAGGGAGAAGCAGTTTTCCCTGCGGAGCAGGGAGCCTAATGTGGGGCTCGATCCCAGGCCCCTGGGATCACGACCTGAGCCGAAGGCAGACGCTTAATGACTGAGCCACCCAGGCGCCCCAGGATGGGAATTTTTTGTTTTAGAATTCTGGATTTTAAAATTCTGGGTAAATGAAAATTTATTACATTTTTCAGAATTCTTTTACATTAAGGAGGAAACAGTCTCCATTCCACTCCATTGTGGAAAAGCTAAATAAGGTATTTTGCTATTTATGGTCACAGAACTAGAAGTGATGCTGGTTAACAACTCTTAAGTTTATTCAGTTTGGTATTTATTTGCACCACAAAGGACCAGACGTAGTTTATTTCCACCTGTGTATGCAGTTTACCATTAGTAGCTTTCTCTTGTGTTTGGGTGTCCCCTCCTTCAAGTTATCTTCCTTCACTACCATGAGTAAGAAGAAAATCTAGGCCATGTACAAGGGAATCGCTTCCTAATAATGAGATCTGTTGCATTTTGCGGTGGATTTACATTTATATTTTTTCCAATCATCTAGTTAAAGGTACAAATGAAAACTAGACTTATACTTTGCCATAAAGAATAAATCAAAGGAAAAAATTTGCACGTCCTTTAATTTTTAAAGGATGCTATCTAATGAACATTTACAGAGTGATAGTAATGTAAATGTTTATTGATTTATTGAAACTAATACGTTGGGAAGATGGGCTAAGAAATGTGATGAATAAGAGACCTAAATTCTTTAAATGCCATAAAATTAATAAATATAAAAGTGCATAAGTTTATTATATCAATATATGAAGGTAACCACCAAATGAGAAAAACAGCTATTGAAGTAAAATAGTGGTCTGTAAGGATCAGAACTAGTGGGTGGGAAAGGATCAAGGAACAGTAATTTTTTCATACAGACGTCTCCATATTTCTTTTTAAGCTATGTACATGTAATACTTTAATTGTTTTAAGCTTGTAGGGGGCGCCTGGGTGGCTCAGTTGGTTAAGTGACTGCCTTCGGCTCAGGTCATGATCCTGGAGTCCCGGGATCGAGTCCTGCATCGGGCTCCCTGCTCAGCAGGGAGTCTGCTTCTCCCTCTGATCCTCCCCCCTCTCATGTGCTCTCTCTCTCTCTCTCTCTCTCTCTCTTTCAAATAAAGAAATAAATAAATAAATCTTTAAAAAATAATAATAATTGTTTTAAGCTTGTAGGAATAATAAAGAATAACCTGAACTGGGGGCCCTACCTGCCTGTGAGAGTGGACTAGGGTGGCCTTGGATGAGGGAAGACAGTAAACTTTGGTAGACTTTTTGTATTCCCATGGTGTTTTTTATAACTATAAGTAAAGTATGCTAGCTGCTTATCTAGGAATGCTGTGACCTACTTATAAATGAAATCAATGGAGGGTTCAGGCATGGCCCTTTTAAGGTGAATTGTTTCCTTGACTCTCTAGTTCCATCACTATTATCTAAATGGTGACCATTTAGGAAAGCTTTCGTCCTAGAGGAGTGCTTTCTCTAGATGTGGATACCTTGGAGTACAGCTATAATGTGTACAGCTAAATGCTCTCATTGTGCCTTTCCTTTTCTTTTCTTTTTTTTTTTTTTTTTTGATGTAGTGTTCCAGGATTCATTGTTTGCATATAACACCCAGTGCTCCATGCAGAACGTGCCCTCTTTAATATGCGTCACCGGGCTAACCCATCCCCCACCCTCCTCCCCTCTAAAATCCTCAGTTTGTTTCTCAGAGTCCATAGTCTGTCATGGTTCGTCTCCCCCTCCAATTTCCCCCCCCTTCATTTTTCCCTTCCTACTATCTTCTTGGGTTTTTTTTTAACATATAATGTATTATTTGTTTCAGAGGTACAAGTCTGTGATTCATCAGTCTTACACAATTCACAGCGCTCACCATAGCACATACCCTTCCCAGTGTCTATCACCCAGCCACCCCATCCCTCCCACCCCTACCACTCCAGCAACTCTCAGTTTGTTTCCTGAGATTAAGAATTCCTCATATCAGTGAGATCATATGATACTTGTCTTTCTCTGATTGACTTATTTCGCTTAGCATAATACCCTCTAGTTCCATCCACGTCGTTGCAAATGGCAAGATTTCGTTGTGTTTTTTTTTTTTTTTGATGGCTGCATGATATCCCATTGTATATATATATGTACCACATCTTCTTTATCCATTCATCTCTTGATGGACATCTTGGCTCTTTCCATAGTTTGGCTATTGTGGACATTGCTGCTGGAAACATTGGGGTGCATATACCCCTTCGGATCACTACATTTGTATCTTTGGGATAAATACCCAGTAGTGCAATTGGTGGCTCATAGGGTAGCTCTATTTTCAACTTTTTGAGGAACCTCCTTACTGTTTTGCAGAGTGGCTGCACCAGCTTGCATTCCCACCAACAGCCTAGGAGGGTTCCCCTTTCTCCGCATCCTCGCCAACATCTGTTGTTTCCTGACTTGTTAATTTTAGCCATTCTGACTGGTGTGAGGTGGTATCTCATTGAGGTTTTGATTGGATTTCCTGATGCCAAGTGATGTTGAGCACTTTATCATGTGTCTGTTGGCCATTTGGATGTCTTTGGAAAAATGTCTGTTCATGTCTTCTGCCCATTCCTTGATTGGATTATTTGTCCTTTGGGTGTTGAGTTTGATAAATTCTTTATAGATTTTGGATACTAGCCCTTTTTCTGATATGTCATTCGCAAGTATGTTCTCCCATTCTTCGGTTGTCTTTTGGTTTTGTTGACTGTTTCCTTTGCTGTACAAAAGCTTTTTATCTTGATGAAGTCCCAATCGTTTTTTTTTTTTCACTTGTTAGCATTTAATGAACGCCCTCAAACGTGGCTTCAAGCTACTAGAACGCAGGCGCCCCCCAACACCCTTAATCTTCTCCTCTGCTCTTCTACTGAAGAATTTGGCCTTCACGATGACAGGCTGTTTTGGGAGTTTTCCCTTTCCCAAAACTCTGTAGTAGCCCGATCGCACCACATCAATGATAGGAGCAGCTCCAGTCTTGTTTTTGGCAGCATTTACCCGTGTCTGCTTCCTGACCAAGGTCCACAGTTTATCAAGGTTGACAGTTGGGCAGAAGCTCTGGTTCCTCTTTAAGTGGTAATGTCTCATACCAACTTTTCCAAAGTATCCTGGGTGATATTTGTCGAAGTTGATCCTGTGGTGATGCATGCCACCAGTATTACTCCGGCCTCCTGGGTGCTTCTGGTGCTTGCCGATGCGGCCGTGGCCGTGGCTCACGTGGCCCCGAAGTTTCTGGGTCTTCCTCAGTCTGGATGGCATGTCGGCAGCTCAGACGGAAAAGCCAAATAGTTCATTTTTGCCCTTGCTTCCCTTGCCTTTGGCAATGTTTCTAGGAAGAAGTTGCTGCAGCTGAGGTCGAAGAGGTTGGTGCCTGTGTTCTCCTCTAGGATTTTGATGGATTCCTGTCTAACATTTAGGTCTTTCATCCATTTTGAGTCTATTTTTGTGTGTGGTGTAAGGAAATGGTCCAGTTTCATTCTTCTGCATGTGGCTGTCCAATTTTCCCAACACCATTTGTTGAAGTCTCACTGCGCCTTTTTTGAAAACAAACTTATTGGGGCACCTCAACCTTGACTGGTGGCTCAGGCAGTTAAGCATCAACTCTTGATTTTGGCTCAGGTCATGATCTCAGGGTTGTGAGATCGAACCCGGTTTTGGGCTCCAAGCTGGACGTGGAACCTGCTTAAGATGCTCTCTCTCCCTCTCCCCCCCCTAAAAAGAACTTAATAATAATAAGTAAAAACTTATTAAGGAAAATACCACTTTCTGTAGTCTTCTATGTAACATAATACCTCAAAGGAAAGGTTGAAGAAACATTCAAGTACAGTACAAATTCAGTTACCTAGGAGATTCCTTAACTGTTTTTAAGCTCTAGCTATTTAATTTTTCCTCACTTGCCTTTATACCTGAAGGAAGACCTTTATCTTCCTCTTCCCTTGAAGATGCCCCTTTGATCTTTTCATAGCTCCTGGTCCCATTTCTGCCTGATATTCCAAAAAGGGAGGATAGTTAGCTTTCCATCAGCTTTCTTTTCTGCCCATGAGTGCTCTTCCCTGTTACCTTCCCTTTCTTGATATCCTCTTGCTGGGCCTACTTTCCTGCTCCAGATGCAAGCCCTTGCTTGCTTTACTGCCACGTGGCTCTGAAATTGATCCTCTTAAGGTGCGTAAAGCCCTCTGATTCCATGACTGTCTGATCTTACTGATTTCATATCTTCATTTTACAACTGCTTTTTCTTCTGGACATTGTACTTAGTTTAAAATTTAACTTTGTCCGCATTCAAAAATATTTCTGTACTTGTAAAAAAAAAAATCTAGCATAAAAACATTAAAGCTCCCTATAAAGCCTTTCCTCAGAGAGGGACAGTGTTTATTTTTATTTTATTTATTTTTTATGTTTTTTTAATAGGCTCCACACCCAGTGTGGAGCCCATTGTGGAGCCCATTGCGGAGCCCATTGCGGGACTTGAACTCATGACCCTGAGATCAAGGCCTGAGCTGAAATCTAGGGTTAGATGCTTAACTGACTGAGCCACCCAGGTGCCCCTCTAAAACTTCGTATACAGTCTCTGTGAATTATAGGTTATTTTTGTTTATTTTATTAATGAAAATGGATCATAGATTATATACTATTTGTCTTTGTGCCTTTTTTAACAGCTCTGAGATATAATTCACATACCATTTAAAGTCTATGATTCAATGGCTTTTAGCATATTCAAAGTCAATTTTAGAATATTTTATTACCCAAAAAGAAACTCTAACCTCTTAACCATCATCCCTACCTTTCCCATTTCCCTCCCTAGACAACCACTAATTTGCAGTCTGTCTCTATAGATTTGCCTGTTTTGGACATTTCATTAAAATGAGATCATATAATATTTTGTGCTCTTCCATTTAGCATGTTTTCAAGGCTTGTCTGTGTTAAAGCGTGTATCAGTACATACTTCTTTTCATTACCAAATAATCCATTGTGTGGCTAGATTATTCGTCCATTTTTTCTTACTTTTTATGTTGAACAAATAACAAATATATCTTTTTTTAATGGTTTTTTATTTATTTGAGAGAGAGAGAGCGTGTGCACACACGAGCTGGGGTGGGGGATGGGAGGGCAGAAGGAAGGAGAAGCAGACTCCTGCTGAGCAGGGAGCCCAACTTGGGGCTCCATCCCAGGACCTGAGCCAAAGGCAGACATTTAACCAGCTGAGCCACCCAGGTGCCCCTTGAACAAATATATCTTGAACGTTTTGCTGTGTCAGTATATATAGTGGACCTCATTCTTTTTTTTAATTTACATAGTATTTATATGATTTTTAAAGGTCGATATCCTATTAGATATTTTGGATTACTTGCAGTTTTTACCTTATTATAAATAAGCCTGTTTTAGTGAATATCTATGTGAATATGTGTCTGTTAGGGTAGAGTAATTCTTTAGGATGCATTTCCGGAAGCTGTATTGCAATATCAAGGGGTATGTATATTTTCTTATTTTAACAGGTATTGCAAAATTGCCCTAAAATAGTGGTATACATTTTTGTGTGAGAATACCTGTTTCCTCGGTATTGGGTATTTTCCTTGTTTAATCTTTGCCACTCTAATAGGTAGAAAATGAAATATTGTTTCAGTTTATAGCTCTTTAATTAGGAGTGAGATTGAGCACCCTTATGCTCATTGACCATTGTGTGTCTTTCTCTATGACCTGAAAGGTATGAACTGAAATGTGGTGTGGTGGTTAAGAATCTAGTCTATAGTGTGGACTCTGAGAAACAAACTGAGGGTTCTAGAGGGGAGGGGCGTCGGGGGATGGGTTAGCCCGGTGATGGGTATTAAAGAGGGCACGTATTGAATGGAGCACTGGGTGTTATACGCAAACAATGAATCATAGAACACTACATCAAAAATTAATGATGTAATGTATGGTGACTGACATAACATAATAAAATAAAATTAAAAAAACAAAAAAGGCTATAGCCTGACTGTCTCCATTCAAATTTCGGCTTCACCATTTGCTTCTACTTATTTCTTTGTGCCTTAGGTTCCTGATCTATAAAATGGGGATGATAATAATAACAATGCTACCTGATAGGAATTATTCTGAATATGAAGTGAGCTATCCTCATAAAGTGCTTGGCCCAATGTCTGGCAAATAGCACATAACTTAAGCTATCATTACAAGCTCTTTGTATGTTAAAGAAATTCGCCCTTTGATCAAAGTGTAGAAATATTTTTCCTAGTTTATTTGTATTTTGATATGACTTTGATAGCTGTCAAACAGAAGTGTTCTGTTTTTATGTGATCAAATTTACATTTTCTGATTAATTGCATGGTTTCTTTTGGTTCATATTTAAATTTTTTTCGATCTAGAATTTATTTTAATATAGAAAGAATGACAGGGACCTAGCTTAATTTTTCCCCCCAGGCGCATTCATGACACTTTATGAATCTGTAGTGTGGGGTTGGGACCGTTCGGTTCTCTAGTTTCCTCATCAATAGGGATTTTATTCACCTCTAGTTCTCATTGTTCATTTCAGTGTGTTATTCTGTCATTCCAGAAGCCTCATGGGTCTTTTAAAGACACTAAATAGGATATAATTCAGACTAAAACCAAAGTTTCTTTACAAGTTCTGTTATTAATATGTATTTTTTTTTCCTGGCAGGTATCCCTTGTATAACTGACTGTGTAATGGCTGAAATTGAAAAACTGGGGCAAAAGTATCGAGTGGCTCTAAGGTAGGAAGGAGCTAGTCTAGATTGGTATACTGAAGATTCTTTTGATCCTCTTTCATCTGTTTGCTGTGTGAAGATTTCTTGGATAATTAGTTTAAATATGAAAAACTAGTTAACTATTTATGATCAAGAAAGCAAACATTTGAAGGTTAAAGAATTTTAAGCTGAAAATTTTTTTTAAAGATTTTATCTTTTTATGTGAGAGAGAGCATGAGCTGGGGTGGGGGAGGTGCGGCGGTGGGCAGAGAAAAGGGAGAAGCAGGCTCCCCCCTGAGCAGGAAGCTGGCCAGTCCCCACGGCTCTATCCCAGGAGCCCAAGATCATGACCTAGCCGAAGTCAGACACTAAACCGACTGAGCCACCTAGGCACCTGAAGCTGAAGTTTTTTGAATGCAGTTAGGTAGTCATATTGGGCTTGTAGGCCTCCTTTTAAGTTCCTCTAGATTTCCAATTAGAAAGTGTCTTTTTATTAGTTATCTAGATATCTCTTTTAGGATCTCACACTTAAAGGATTCACATTCTGAGTTTTGAGCTTACTCTAGAAAGTACACTTGAATTAAAAGTAGTGGTTCCCAAAGTATGGTCCATGGACCCCTAGGAGTCCAGAGATCTTTGCAGGGAGCTTAACAAAACTATTTTCATAATAATATCAAGACGTTGTCTTTGTCACTGTGCTGACATTTATACTGATGGCAGAAATGCTGGTGCCTTAGTACCAATCAAGACAGTGGATCCCAATAATGTTAGTAGACTTCGTATTCTTCACTGCCACTCACTGGCAGTTAAAAACAAAAAAACAAAGGGCGCCTGGGTGGCTCAGTTGGTTAAGCGACTGCCTTCGGCTCAGGTCATGATCCTGGGGTCCCGGGATCGAGTCCCACATCGGGCTCCCTGCTCAGCAGGGAGTCTGCTTCTCCCTCTGACCCTCTTCCCTCTTGTACTCTCTGTCTCTCATTCTCTCTCTCAAATAAATAAATAAAACTTTAAAAAAAAAAAAACAAAACAAAAAACAAAAAAACAAAAACAATGCAGGGGTGCCTGGCTGGCCCAGTCAGTAGAGCATGCAACTTTTGATCTCGGGATTACAAATTTGAGCCCTGAATTGGGTGTTTTAGAGATTACTTAAAAAACCTTAGGGGCACCTGGGTGGCTCACTCATTAAGCGTCTGCCTTTGGCTCAGGTCATGATCCCAGAGTGCTAGGATCGAGCCCTGCGTTGGGCTCCCTGCTCAGAGGGAAGCCTGCTTCTCCCTCTCCCATTCTCCCTGCTTGTGTTCCCTCTCTCACTCTGTCTCTCTGTCAAATAAATAAAATCTTCAAAAAAAAATTTTTTTAAATAAATACAATCTTTAAAAAAAAAAGCCCCAAAACAGAGTCCCTTAAGAATATCCTTGATGAAGCAGTAAAATTTGTTGACTTTGCTAAATCTCGACCCTAGAGTACACGTCGGTATTCCTTGTGATGAAGTGTAAAATACACCTACAGCACTTCTGCTGCATACCCAAGACTCAAGCTTGCCTCAGTGAAAAGCATTTGTGCTTGTTTGAGTTGTGAGCCAAACCAGTTGCTTTTCATGGAATATCATTTTTATGTGACGAATAACTGACAAACACTGGTTTTTCAGACTGTATTTTGCAGATAGTTTCTCAAAAATTAATACAGTGAATCTGTTACTTCAAGGAAACAACTTAACAGTATTAGTTACCAATGATAAATTTCAAGCTTTCAAGTGAAAATTAGAGCTTTGAGTATATGTGCTGCTGAAGTGAGCACTGAAAATTAGAGTTTTGAAAAATCATGAGCTTATCACATTCCCAATACTAAAGACCTTTCTGTTGAGACCAGTGGATACTGAGTATGATTTTTTTGGTATTGTATAATGAAATGTGTTAATATTTGGGAAGATTTGTGTGATTCAATGAGTTGGTATTTTCCAAATGATCAATGAATAATATTACAAAATCATGCATGGGTAAAAGATTCAATCAACGTCCAAGATGTATCAGTGAATTTGTGTGTCTCTTTGTGTGTCACCTTTTAGAGTTATAAATTACGTACTGTAAAATTCACCAAGTTTAATTGTATAATTTGCTGGGCTTGGCAAATGTGTACAGTTATGGAACCACCATCATAGTCATGAAATAGAACATTTCCATCACTCCAGAAGTGTGATTCCATTTATACGAAATTCCAGAAAAGGCAAAACTATACTAATAGAATATAGTGGTTAACTGGACCTGAGCATGAGAAAAGTGGATTAACTGCAGAGGGACACAAGGAACTTTTTGTAGTGACAGAAATGTTCTATATCTCAATTATGGAGATAGGGACATGGATATATAGATTTGTCAAAACTCGTCAAATTTTACACATACTATCAGTGAATTTTATTATTTTTCATTTATACCTAATAAAGCTAGTTTTTTTAAAGGCAAAGAAAAATGGGAATCCAATGTATGAGTGGTAGCACTGTTTAGCTGAATGGGAAAGTGATAAACTATTAAAATATTGATTATCACTGTAGAAAGAAATAAAACTGGGTTCTTACCTCTTTCACAAAAATCAGTTCCAAATAGATTAAGTATCTAGACTTTTACAGAAAATATAGAGAATATCTTAGTGATTTTGGAGTGGGCAGGGCTTTCTGAAGAAGTCCAGACCATAATGGAAAACTAATCAATCTGACTATATTGAAATCGAATACTGGGACACCTGGGTAGCTCAGTTGGTTAAGCATCTGTCTTCGGCTCAGGTATGATCTCAGGGTCCTGGGATCAAGCCCTGTATAGGACTCCCTACTTAGCAGGGAGTCTGCTTCTCCCTCTGCCCCTCCCCGTTTGTGCTCTCTTGCGCTCTCTCTCTGTCAAATAAATAAATAAAATCTTTAAAAAAAAAAGAAATTGAATACTACTTTATAACGAAAGACAGCATAAACAAAGCAAAACAATAAGTCACAGATAGTGAGAAGATACTAGTAATGCATATAATGAACAAAGGGTTTATTTTCAAAATACATAAAAAACTACAAATCCATAAGAAAAAGACAAAATCCTTAAATTCACAAGGAGATATCATTTCATACCCAGCAGATTGGCAAGAATTGAAAAGTCTACTTAACAATGCCATGAATAGTTGGGACTGGGGACCAGTGGGAATTCTCATATTCAACAGATAAGGATGTAAAGTGGACAGTCACTTTGGAGAGCAATTTGGCAATATCACTGCAGAAAGTTCTGTCTTCTCAGCCCTGTTTCACTCTCCTCTGCACAAACACTCTCTCCCTACCAAAGATATGCTTGCTCTTCCCTGAACACCAATGAACCATTTTATAGATGGTTGGTGCCCTGTTTGGAACATGCCTGCCCTCACTTTGTGTGGAATATTCTTTCATCTTTATTTTATTTAATCTCCATATAATTTTTTTTAAGTATACCAAATTCTCAGTGACTTAGCTCTGAACTACTGCAATAGGGAATATTTTTCTTGCCCTTGGTACCTATGTGCTGCCTTGTAGTTTTATTCAGTTTGTGACTCATCATTATGTAATAGGAAGAACATGGTTCTGGGAATCACAGACTTGGGGTTTTTCTTTTTTCAAATTTGTATGAAAATAACATGTTTGATTTATTTATGGCAAACAATATAAACACGTATATACACTAAAAAGTAGAAGTCCCCCGGCATGTTCACACTTTGTCCATTCTTCCACCCTAATGGTAACAACTGGGAAGGGTTAGTGTATAGTTAGTATATGTTTTTCCAGACCTTTTTTCTAAGCAAATGCGAGTGTAGAGAAAGACAATGAAAGAGATTTATATTTCCTTAATTGAGTCGTATATTGTTCAATGACTTTTTTTATTCAACAGTTTGAATTTTTTTGAGTTTGTTTATTCAGCAAGCCTTCCATGTTGGTACAGATAGCTCTCTCTTTTTTTTTTTAAACAGGGTGGGGCATCAAAATATATTTAACTTTTACCTTGCTGATGGATATTCAGACTATCTGCAGTTGTTCACTGTTATAAAGTGTTCTGTAGTGGCCATCCTTCTGCCTATATTCTTGCACATTTGTGGAAGACAGCTTCTAAAAGTGAAATGGTTGGGTTAAAATTGTTTGGTTTTGAATCCTGGCTTTTCCCACCTGTGTACTTAGAACAAGTTAATTAATCTCTCTGAATCTGCTTCCTCATTTGTAAAATGGAAACGTAATTCAAAGTTCTGTGAAGATTACCTGACCTAAGGCATGCCAGCTTCTCTCTCAGTTGTCTTTCCAATTAGAAGATAAGTTGCAGGAGGTGAGAGTTGCTTTAAAATCTGTACATAGATCAAGTCACTCTTACTTCACAGATAAAGAGTCAGAAAGTTATCCAATTGCCTGAATTGTTGTTAATCCAGTTTTGTAACCCTTTAGGATTGCCAAGGATCCAAGATTTGAACGATTACCATGCACACACAAAGGAACCTATGCAGATGACTGCTTAGTACAGAGAGTAACTCAGGTATCATCAGTTTTTAAATGTTGACTTTGTGCTTCACAGGAAGCGTAGGTGCCCTCATTTACTTGAGGAAGTGGATTGGAAATGTATACTGTACCTGTAATGGGAAAATCACAGGCTTGGGGAGGAGACATGGATTTCAAATCTCAGCACCTGCATTTAATTGGGTATGTGATTTGGGGCACTTACTGATTCTTTATTCCACCAATCATCTCTATAAAATGCTTTAAGTGAGTGAGTGTACATATAATACCAGGTTTCACCTCCCTGTGAATCAGAAATCATCCATTTCCATTACTCCCCATGCAGGAATTTTGTTCCTCTCCACCATGCCCAAGCAAGTGTTTCTCACTTACATCTGAGTGTCCCAGGATGCTGTCTTACAAGTACCTGGAATAACTAGGTTTTTGCTTCTTCTGTTCTGGCCTCCTTGTCAAGCACCACAAGAACTTCTGACATTGATTGTCCTTACTGGAGCCTCCTCTGCTGGGGATAATCATCTCCGTCTGGTGACCACACTGCCATCCCTTTAGCCACTCCATCCCATGGGGTGGAGACAGCATTTGCCTTAACTTCCCACAGCACAGCTGACACCAGGCTACAACTCTTTTCAAGATTGAATGGGAGATTGGGGTGTGATGGAAGTAAAATATAATACAGCTGGCAGTTAAATGGTACTGCTTTCAGAACTCCTAGGCTCGTCCTGGAGATCCATTTTGGCTTCATGGCTGAGGAAGTAGCCTACCTCCACCACCAGGAGCTCTCAGAGTAGGCCCAAGCCCAGAGATTCCAGGAAAGGCAAAAGCTGTGCCCTCCGGTCTAAGGCATTTACTCTGCCTTTGCATTGAGTCTTTTGGGGTGTTTCCCCAAACCAAGAAATCATCTGCCCTAAATGTGAAAGTCCCTTCCACTTATGAGACAAAAAAACAGTTTGCAGCTTTTAAATAGTTTTTCTGTCTTCTCCCCCTCAAGATTCTTAGAGCTACATTCCCTTGTTACGTGTTTTATAAATAGGAGCTCCTAGATCATAGTAGGTACTCAACAAATTATTAAAACCTTTCCTTCGCTAATTACTGTGAAAATGAGTAATTCTCTAGATTAGCCAATGTACCATTATTCAGTATCACTAAGTAGACTCAATGTATGAACACTCAATGGTGTCTCTTGCAGCACAAGTGTTACATTGTGGCCACAGTTGACCGGGACCTTAAACGAAGAATCCGGAAGATCCCTGGAGTTCCCATCATGTACATTTCTAACCATAGGTGAGAACTGTCTCTTGGGGGAAGCGATTAAAAGTATATAGCTGATATCAATTAAAAATGAGGTCAGGTTATAGGAAGATTTGAAAGCAATTGCTGTATCAAAGGCTCACATAGTTATATTTGAAGAAATGAGACAAAGTAACAAGAACAAGGGCAAAAGATAAAACTATGATTTGGGAATGAGGCAGACATTCCCATTGCTACAGTAAGATTACTAGAAGAAATAGAGATGTGTAGCTCTAAATACAAAGCAGTATTTGAAATTAAGCTAATCTTTTTGGCCAGAAATATCTTTTTTTTTTTTTGAAAGCCTAGTATATGTGATCATCACCTTATCTGGGAAACTAAAAGCTTATTTAAAAAAAAAACAAACAAACTGATCTTTATCCTGCTTGCATGTTCCCATGTTAGTGCTCAGTCTATTACTGTCTCGCTTTTTAACCTGGGAAGAACACAATATAGTGGGAGGAGTTGGGCTTACCTGGACTTAGTGCCTGGCTCCCTCACTTGTTAACTTTCTGACTTTGAAGAATAAAGATATTAAAGTCAGCATTTTGCTATAAATTATTCATTATGATATCCCTTTAAAATGTTCCCACTGACAAAAAGGATTCATAGTGGGGAGGTGAAAGTGTTGCAGTCAGTAAAGGATGGGTTTTTAGGTGGGTTCTGGACCCACCTTTCTTACCAGTGTTAATTTTTTGTCCTGATCAGGTACAACATTGAGCGGATGCCAGATGATTATGGAGCCCCTCGGTTCTAATTCTTAAAAGATAGAGTTCCTCTGCCTTCCTTTACCAACTTTTTCTGTTGCCAGTTCATATTAGCAATATGCTGTAGCATGAATTATTCTTCTTACCCATTTGCTCTGTTATGAGCTGACTGTAGTTAAATACACTCACTTTTCGATGTTTTGAAATTGATATTTTGTATCATTTTAAATATTGTTGCATCTTTTTATAAATTAGATGATTGCTCATATAATTTGATGGTTGTTGTTTTATATTGACTTACTCAACAAATACTTATTAAGGTTATACTAGGTACTTAATAAGGTATGGTCCTGCCCTGAAGACATTCGTATTATTATAGGGGAAAAGAGAAACATATATATGAATAAATATAGTAATATAATGATGCCACGTTAAAAGTATGAGGGAATAGACCTGTATGTGAAAAAATGATGATTTCTTTCTAGTTGGTTAGAGTGGGAAGGAAGGGAAGGCTAGAGGTAGTAATGTTTGAGTTAATCTTTAAAAATGAATAAGTGCTTGCCCAGTATATGAAGTAAAGAAAATGAGGCATAGGAAGCATATGAACAAAAGCACAGAGACATGGATGTTAACGTGGAATGATTGCTTGGCCTGCACATACAACTACCAGAAGGTTTTTCTAACTAGAAGATAGGGGAAAGAGACTGTACCCACATCTGAGACTCCAGGGGTAGGAGGTGGCTGGGAGGGGGCCTTATATGACATGCTAAAGGGTTTGGACTTGATTGTGAGGTCAACAGGAGCTTACTAAAATTAACAAGATCAGATATTTTAAATGATCACAAGGTAGTGTAAGAATAGACAAATAGATCATTGAAGTAGAATAGAAAGTCCATAAACAGACTGATACATTTATGGCAAGTTGGTACATCATCAAGATAGTATTTCAAATCTGTGGGAAAAGGAAATTTTAAGGCCAAATAGTGTGGAATAATTCTTAGTGGGGTTAGAATCCTGATTCCACCAGTTACTATCTGTATGAGTTGGGCATAGTACGTAACCATTTGGTGCCTTCCTTGCTCCTTCTTTAAAATGTGTTGTCTAGGGCGCCTGGGTGGCTCAGTTGGTTAAGCGACTGCCTTCGGCTCAGGTCATGATCCTGGAGTCCCGGGATCGAGTCCCGCATCGGGCTCCCTGATCAGCAGGGAGTCTGCTTCTCCCTCTGACCCTCTTCCCTCTCGTGCTATCTCTCATTCTCTCTCTCTCAAATAAATAAATAAAATCTTTAAAAATAAATAAATAAAAAATAAAATGTGTTGTCTAATTCTCAAAACAAACCTGGTAAGATGGAATGAAATCGAATAGTACATGACACAATTTAATTATTGTTTGGTAAATGTCAGTGATTATTATAGTTGGCTATCCATCTGAAAAAAGTTTTTGTATTCCTACTTCATACCCTTCATAAGAATACGTTTCAAGTGGATCAAAGACCTGAACTTTTCTTCTTAAGCTATGGAAGTCTTAGAAAAAACACAAAATGCCTATAATCTTTGGATAGAATTCTTAGATGGAGAATGTAAAAGCCATAAAAGAAAAGATTGGTAAGTGTGACTATATTAAAATTATTCTGTGCAAGGCAGCCCCCCCAAATTAAGACAAGTGGCTGACCAAAAGATCTTCCAATATATATAACAAGGGTATGAAGAAATGAGTAGTCGTGCAGTGCTGAGAAGAGTGCAGATAGATATAACCGTTTTAGACAGAAGTTTGGCAAGAGACATTAAAAATTACAGATACCCAAGGAGCCCAATTCTATTTTTGGGTTATTTATAGGTTATTATACAGGTGATTTTCTTTAATATACATGGTTAGTGTGACGTAAGCACATAAGTACAATATAAATGTGTAAAGAAACATTCACACATGGGAACAAGGAAGCATCTAGAAGCATCTTATTTCACCACTATTTATAATAGAGAAAAATTGAGAAGAATGTAAATTCCCATCAAAAGAATCTTAACTATGTTACATCTCTACAGTTAACCCTTGAACAATGCAAGGGTTGGGGGGCTGATGCCCCACACAGTTGAAAATCTGAGTATAACTTTTGACTCCCCCAAAACTTACTAATAACCTACTCATGATTGGAAGCCATAGTGGTAGCATAAACAATTAATGCTTATTTTGCATGTTATATGTATTGTACACTATATTCTTACAATAACGTAAGCTAGAGAAAAGAAAAGGTTAAGAAAATCATAAGGAAGAGCAAATATTTCTAATATTTCTAATACTGTATCAAAAAAAAAAGTCCATGTATAAGTGGACCCATGCCGTTCACATCGGTATTGTTCAAGGGTTAGCTATACTGTGGAATGTCATGAGCATTTGAAAAGAAGTAGGTTTAAAAATGGGCAAAAGACTTGAATAGACGGTTCTCTGAAGAAGATATGCAGATGGCCAACAAGCACATAAAAAGATGCTTACTATCACTAATCATTAGGGAAATGCAAATCAGAATCACAATGAGATACCACTGCATACCTATTCATATGGCTACTATTAAGAATAAATAAATAATGAGTGTTGACAAGGATATGGAGAAATTGGAACTGTTGTGCATTGTTGGAAATGTAAAATGGTACAGTCACTAGAGAAAACAGTATGGCGATTCCTGGAAGAATTAAAAATAGAATTACCATATGATCTGGCAATTCCACTCCTGAGTATAAACAAAAGAATCGACTCAGGATCTTAAAGAGATATTTGCACATCTATGTTCACAGCAGCACTATTCACAATAGCCAAGAGGTGGAAGCAATCCAAATGTCCATCAATAGATGAATGAATAACCAAAATTGGTATATACATACAATGGAATACTATGCAACCTTAAGAAGGAAGGAAATTCTGACACATGCTCCAACATGGATGACCCTTGAGTAAGTGAAATAGGACCAAAAGATAAATACTATGATCCCACTTATGAAGTATCTACAATAACTGAATTCATAGAGAAAAGGTAGAAAGGTGGTTACCAGGGGCTGGAGGGAGTGGGGAATGGGGAGTTTAATGAGGATGGAGCCTCAGTTTCCCAAGACAAAAAGATTTGTGGAGATTGGTTGCACAACATTGTAAATGTACTTAACGATATTGAACTATATACACTTAAAAATGGCTAAAATGGTAAATTTTATGTATATTTTACCACAATTAATAATAATCAGAGCTATGTTACTTACTTGACCTAATGTTAAAAAGAAGCAACTCGTAGAACAATTAGGTATGGTGTGTTACCTGTTTTACTTTTTTTTAAACCACAAAATTACACAACTGTTTTATATGGTAATATACATATATGGATAGTAAAAGGTCTGAAAATAATTCTTTTCCTACCCTCCCTTCTCTGCTAACAGTATTCCTCTTAGAGAAAACCATTGTTATAGGACTGGATTGTGGCTCACTCCTACCCCAGCACATAATAATGGATGTTTCATCTTCCTGGTTAGACCAATCAGAATATTCTTATTCCCTTTGCCATTGCGATTATTTCAAACCTGGGAGATCAAACTAAAGCCAAATAGTCTTAACCAGAGCTTTTACTGGAAAGTTGTTCTTTTTCTGTGGGAGAGCTGTCAGGTAATGCATGCTTTGAAACTGAGTGATCATATCTGCCAATATGTTGGAAAAGCCAACCTGGGTTTTACTTAGATTACATAGTCAAACTTAATCCTAACTAACACAAGATAACATGTCTCCTCAACCAACAGAGAGAAGAAATGAAAAGGGGAACTCAATCATTAAAAAAAAAAACTCAAAAAAAAAAACAGGTTTTGTCAAAACCCAATGAACTGCATCACTGGAGATTTGCACATTTTGCTATCTGTAAATCGAAAAGAAAAAAAAATGCAGAAGAGGGGAGGGAAGAAGAAATAATGGTAAATAGAAAACATAAAGTAAGATGGTAGAGAAAGGTTCAAATGCACAGTAGTCATGATGAATGTGACTGAATAAGTTTTCTTATTAAAAGACAAGTGCACAGGGCGCCTGGGTGGCTCAGTTGGTTGGGCGACTGCCTTCGGCTCAGGTCACGATCCTGGAGTCCCGGGATCGAGTCCTGCATCGGGCTCCCTGCTCAGCGGGGAGTCTGCTTCTCCCTCTGACCTTCTTCCCTCTCATGCTCTCTCTCTACCATTCTCTCTCTCTCTCTCAATAAATAAATAAAAATCTTTAAAAAAAAAAAAAAAGACAAGTGCACAGGGCCCCTGGATGGCTCAGTCAGTTAAGCGTCTGCCTTTGGCCCAGGTCATGATCCAAGAGTCCTGGGATCGAGTCCCACATCAGGGTCCCTGCTCAGCGGGGAGTCTGCTTCTCCCTCTGCCTCTCCCCCCGCTCGTGTGTGCTCTCTCTCTCCCTCTCTCAAATAAATAAATAAAATCTAAAAAAAAAAAACTGCACAGGTTGGATATTTTTTAAATCTTATGGCTGTGATATTACAAAACACGCCTAAAACAAAATGACACAGAACAGTTGGACGTGATAGGAAAATACACTTACTGCACAACCCAGTAATTCTACTCCTAGGAAATCTACCCAAGAGAAATGAAAACAATATTCACACAAACACTTGGACACCAGTGTTTATATTATCTTTAGTCATAAGAGATAAAAACTGGAAACAACCCAAGTATCTATGGACAAGTAAATGGATAAATTGTGGTGCATTCACACAATTGAATACTATTTAAAAAGAAATGAACTGATAAAGCAACATAGATGAATCTTAAAATCATCAAGTTGAGCAAAAGAGGCCAGACACAAAAAAATATATACGATACGATTCCATTTATGAGACTCTAGAAAGACTAATCTATAGTGATAGTAAATCATTAATTACCTGAGGTGGGGATGGCAGGTTGGCTGTACAGATACAAAGGAATTTGGGGGGGTTATGGAAATGTTCTGTATTTTTATTGTTGTGATGGTTACTTGGATATATTGATTTGTCAAAATGCATTGACACATGAGTGCAAAATGAGTGCATTTTGTTGTGCATAGCTTATACTTAAGTAAATTAAAAGATGGGAAAAGATAACAAAAAATATGCTGTTTGAATATGCAATATGGAACATATAGAGGGTTTTTTAGTGGCATAACATCAATTTTATGAACAGTCCATGTACACTTGGAGGGGCGCCTGGGTGGCTCAGATGGTTAAGCGTCTGCCTTCGGCTCAGGTCATGATCCCGGAGTCCTG